ACATGCATGATTATAGGAGACTGACCAATCAGCACACAGCAAGAACTTAGTGCTCAAGTGAAATCCAGGTCCGTTTAATCGAAATGGTAATTTACAATTCCTGTCCTAGCTCAGAGTGTCCTCCCTGACATGGATTATCTGGTCACCCTATACAAAGGTGTGTTGCTCATCATGTTCTCTTGCATATTCACTTACATATTCTGCTCTTTGGTAACCTTTTCCTGCCCCAAGGCTGGACAACAAAAAATAAACCCAGGTAAAGATACTGTCGCTTGCTCTTATATGGTGTTTTTTTTGATGATCCACCCAAAGTTCCTCTGGCATGACCTGCGGGTTTTGTGGTATGTGCTGGGCTTGCCTGCATGGTGTAACGTCTTATGCAGCCGCATGGTTTTGAGGTGGTTTTGAGATTTGCTCTACTCTGATGATACTCTCTTTAACCCAAAAGGAACCACTTTGTAACCAATGTGAGTTAGTTAAGCCAGGCAGTAAATGGACAGCGTGAGTTAAAGCAGTCTGCAAATAGAGATCGCACAACAATATTCCCCAGTGAGGACACGGAGGCCTCAGCTCTCCCATGTCTATGAAGAAGGACTGTATCTGTGATCATAAATAGCACATAGGGAAATTTACCATCATTAATGTCATAGTGAAACTGCTCCAGCAAACATGCTGCTAGATGTTCTGCTCGTCTCTAAAGTGAATCCGAACGAGAAGGTGTCAGTTCTCTCGCCCTATTAGCTGATTTCGTTTGTCCATTTCCTACCTCACAGAGAACCATGGGAACTTTTGTCTGCAACCAGTGGACCCGTTTGGCCAATATTAGGCATTATTTTTGTTTTGTTTTTACTTTTTTGGTTTCTTGAAGAGTCACAGCTGCGATGTTGGTCTGTCCCTGTACTTCCGTGTGTCTGTGACTCTGGTGTCAGGATTTTACTGTTTTGTCCTTTGTGTCCTTTTTTAAAAACTTTTACGCTGCATTAGCTAATGTGCCACAAAGAGCCAAAACTCTTATTTCGATCTTTGTGAATGCAATTGAAGTCATACACCCAGAATATTTAAACCCCAGTAGATGGGTGTCCTGTAGCTTACACACTCTGTTGGCTGGGAGTGTCAGGAGTGGAAGATCATTCCAGCTGAACCAGCTGCAAGCAGGAGGTGTTTAAGTGCCATTAAGCACAAGTAAAGTGTGGGATGAGCGGGCTGAATAGATTTAAGTGAGAGTACGACCTGCTGCATGTTTCATCAGGTCTTTCTACAGGAACTGGACCGGCCTGTTTGACTGTACGAATGCAGGCTGCCGATTGGGTGTGTACTGAGAAGGTATGGATGTTCACCTTCTTGCATGCCCTTGGGTGCTGCTTAGAAAACCCGAGACGGTTTTGAAACCTGAGAGGCTGTGCCACCTTGGATTTTAGTGGCGCTGGGAGTGAGCCGATCTGGCAGAGGGCTTTAAGTTATAGAGTTTATGGGGGTCGGCCATTTTGAGCTGTGGTTGCTGAGGACAGCCATCGGGGAGCCCCATGTGTGAAACGCTACAGCACATTCATCATGGGGCAGAAACCTAAATAATGCAATAATATAATATGCATCTTCCTATCCTGTTGTTCACCTAATCATTAGCCCACGGAGGGCCTTGGTTGCATAAGATAGTTGCTTGTAGTCTGTGGCTGTTTAGAGCAGTGGTGTCCATGCATAGCTGGAGACACTGTTAAGGGCAGACCATGTATGGAGTGGATGGTACAGGAGACGCCAGCCAAGTCGCTGAACGCTTGCCCAGACGTATCGGCTGATAGAAAAGCCAAGCAGAAGGGGCACCTCTGCCTTTCAGAATCCCACTCTCGCCGGTCAGTCCACCTGGCCTCGTCCGATCCGGTGGCCTCCCCCCGTTCTATAAGGCTGATCCCCAAGCTGGGTTTGAGCTCCTCTCAGGTCGCTGCACTTTTGCCACGCTGTTTGGGGTGGGTAGCTCCAGCACGGCCGCTCCATATGAGTGCTGAAACTCATCTGCTTGTCCACGGGGCCAATCTAAAAATAACGACCGCCCCCAGGCTGGGCTGTCGGGTATCGGGTTCTAGCTGAGTTAGCTGTCCGGGGGACGGCCGCAGTGCTACTCGGTGGTTTGGGGCAAGAAAGAGCAAAAACGAATTTCTGCAGCTCTCCTCGGTTCCTGCATGACGTGCAGGAATGGGGGACCTGAAGGAGGACCTGAAGATGATGGCTGATGAAGGAGGTAGGCTGTTCAGAGATGTAGATGCCCCTCATTCCCTGAGGAATGTCTTCTGTCGACGGCCCGGTAGCGTCTGGAACGCTTGTTAACACTTTTTGGAGATGTGCAGGCACATGTTTGCACACCCTGGGAAATGATAATCCAGAAGTTTATGTTTGTTTACACATTGTTTTAAAGCGGAGCGGCAAGGCTCCCAACAAGGATGTTTTTTTAAGGCACTGAGTGGAGGATAAATGCGGTAATGTCTGAGACTGCAGTTGGCATCTTCCATTTTAAAACATGGAATACTTCGCCGTGTTAAAAATGGACTTTGGACTTTCTGCTCCATTTCACACAACAAACGGATTATCTGCTTCTGTACATGCCTGCTTGTTATTTTTTCACAGTATGATTCAGAGAACATGCTTGTAATTGAAACAACCATCTCGTAGCCCTAAATGTTAGTTTGTTCTTCTCCAGAAGAACTTGAGCAAAATTCAGCAAGCAGATGAAAGGTTCTTCCACTTGATTTCTTTTCCCCTGACAAATGTATTTTAAACAGTAGTGTTAAAAGGAGTAAAATCCTTTCCAGTAAACGGTCAGAAAACGTCACTTATGCTCATTGAGCTGTATGGTCCTTTAAAGTATTGAGAACATCTTTTAGTGGGTTCAGTCGGATGCTTGTGTCCTTTTTGCCATTTCGTTGTCAAAGCCTAAAGCTGGAAGATTACCACCTTTTAGGCTGTAATGGTGTAAGTGAGTTTTGCAGGACGTATTTCTATACCCTCACTTAAAGATGAGCCAGTCAGACAAGCAGTTAACGACCCCTGTAGTTATCTAATGACTCTGAGGCTGAACTGAAGGCAGCCAAAACATCCCCTTCTCTGTGTGGACCAGACATACTGTGATTAAGATGGTGTACAGGAATGAATGATGAAATATATGCTTTGAACAGCTGTGCGTGGAGTGAGGAATTGTCTGATGTGAATGATCTTACTGGATGTTACAGCAGCATGAGTCTGTTTTCACATTTGTCTCCTGAGGGGCAGTGAAATGAAACGGTAAGGGGTCCAACTGATTACAATATCCTTCTGCAAACTGTAACGTTTCATGTGTTCTGTCAGAACAAAACTCTTTCAGTTATAAAGAGAAACGAGGAAGTGATCTGGTGTAATGCAAAATCATCACATTTCCCTATTGAATTTTACACCATTACCATGCAGTTAAAACCTGTGTGTGTGTGTGTGTGTGTGTTGTGTTTGCGCAGCCGTGTGCTTTTTGGTTTTAAACCCCTGCATGCTGTCAGCATAACACATCCCTCTTTAGGCACACTCATCAATGACTGGGCTGTTTTCATCCCTCCTTAGACATGAAGCAGCCATTGGCCGGTAGGAACGGCAAGAAGTCTGAGCATGCCCAGAAGAGCTCGTTCTTCACCTGGTTCCTCGTGCTGGCCATGCTGGGCGCCTGGACATCCGTCGCCGTAGTGTGGCTCGATATCGTGGACTACAAAGATGTGCTGGGTGTGTCTTTCTCTGCCATTGGCGTGGTCTTAACTCACTGCACCAGACAAAACAAGAAGCCATGTGACATTTGCGGTTTGTAGGTACAAGTTTTTGGTTTGTAGGCACAAGTTTAAAATTATGATATGTTTAAATATAGATGGCATATCAAAATGTAGTTAAATTCAAATACATCTGAAAGTTACAAATAGGACTGCTCGATTATGGCAAAAAAATCATAATCATGATTATTTTGATCAATATTGCGATCACAATCTAACACAATCAGTCATTGACTTTGGAAATATCCTGTCTTTTTAACAGTGGATTTCCTTGAACTCTGAGTATAATTCAGCTGAGAAGTAAAGGGCTGGAGAGCAGCGCACTGGATTTATAACACAAGACGAAATGGGAGCATCACTGCAAAACAAAATCCAGCTCAATAATCATCTCATCTTGATAATTTTGTTTTGATAATCGGAAGCCAAATTCGTAATTGAAATTCGATCCGATCGATTACCTAGCCCTTGTTATTAGTTGAGCTTGTGAATGCAATCACTTAAGAGATTCCCAACCCCTGGCTGAACTCACTGGTCCACAAGTTTTACAGATCTGTGGAATCTTTCCTGGTCTAAGCATCATCAAATGGTCGGGAACCTCTAACTGAAAAGGCCTAACCTGACCTGATGACTTTTTTGCCATCTTGACTTTACATGAAACCAGTGCAAAGGGCTTCCCAGCTGACCTGTCTTTACATGAAACCAGTGCAA